AAACTGGAGCATGGAGGCGACTGGAGGTAGAGGGTAATTCCTCACATATCAGACCATACTTGTACGTCTGTCTGTCATCGAAAAAGAAGCCTGGAAATAACCGCACAAAGAATGGTTTCCCTGACAACTATACATTAAAATGGAAAAATATTTAGCTAAACTCGATCTTCCAATATATCACAACTTTAGAGTCCGTTTGAATTGTTATTTTTAGGAGGTTTTGTTAAATATATATATATATAATGTAACAATTTGATGTATATGAGGTAAAAGGATAATTGAGAGATGATGCGTTCACAGAAAACGTTAAAATTTTTTGTTGTGGAAAATGCAATCCAAAATTTGCTTGTTTCCTTGTCTAAGGTAGAAGGTTTGGGGAATTTAGTACAAGGAATTAAAGTGCCAATTTTATAGTACTGCTCATTAGAAAATTGCTTAGGGGACCTCATCATTATTTCAAAGAGTTGTTTTAGTGAAAAAGAAAAAAGAAAAAAGAGTTGCTTTAGGGGACTTGGCATTAGGATTTGTATAATATCATCCGTTCCTCAATCAAAGTACACCTTTGGTGATTCAGACTTGATCTTGTTTCTAGATAAAGAAAAAGTAAAACAAGTGTGCTTACTTTTATGGCTTTGGAAAAAAAAAAAAATTTCTTTGCTTTTTGACACTTTATTCGAAAAATATGCGAATGCTTCGGCTAACAAGGCTGCCTCATGACTGGGCCATGGAGGAATCCGGCGGAGGCGTGGACTGGTGATAAAAAAAGAGCTTAAACACTAAGTTAAAACTACCAAAGTCTTGAATTGATTAGGCCATGGAGAAATTAAGCCCCAATACATGACGTCACCCCCAGAGGTTTGGAAAAATTTGACTAATATCCTTAATTTATAATCATCGTCTTTTCTTATTAATAATCTACGTTGCTTTGCTTTTAATCATAACTCAGGTGATCAGGGCTTGCTTTCAAAGATTTAAATCTTTTTTTTTTTACTTTGCAAGTTTTTTAAATTAAAAGTTGTTTTCAAGTATTCTCAATTGCTTTGGACTTGTGTTGAACTTTAGCATATTAATAATAATGTAAACCAAAAATGGCTGATTATGATGAGCTGTTTTGAGGTGCTTTTAAAAGTAGATAAATTTCGACTTTTACGTCACTTTGAAAACACATTATATTCTTTCAATTATTTTTCATGGGTTTTTAGAAACACCCCCCCCCCCCCCGGCATTCTTCATAATGAGTTCGAGAAAAGAAACAAGAAAATGGGAGGGAGGTAAATGATTTGAAGTCTGATTTAACACCTTTACATAACTAAAATCCAAAACAAATGCTACTATAGCAATATACGAAGCAGGACGACTCAAGAAAAATCTCGCAACCGAATGCTTGGTTTTATACATGTTATCAAGCATCTTCGTAACTAACTAGTATTTTGACCCGTGTCATGCATATATATAGGTTTTACATTTTAAACAAAAAAATTAATATTATAAATAACAGCTAATCTAGTGCTTTGAAAGGACCACCATGGGAAGGAATGGCATAAAACAAGTACGACCCAAAAGTTAGGTTTAGGGAGGCTAAAAGAAGAACCAAGAGTAGAAAGTAAATAAAAGGACCTTGGATGCCATATATGTACACATGACATCACCTTGTGGAAAGAAGTGGGAAACGAAATTGTAGCTTAGGAGCTAAAAGACACTTTTGGGAAACTTTAGACTAAGTTGTTAGAGACAAAATATAAACCAAAGCTTCCAATTAAAACGAGTTTGAGTGGCACTTGTGGGGTGCATGAATTTAACATAATCAATTCCCATTTCATTTCCTGAAGAATTTTGTAAAGAAAGAAACATCGTATCCGGGTTCTTCTTTATTTTTTTTTCTCCCCATTGAATGATGTATTAGTGTTGAAAGTGGCGTTAAATTATGGGGGGATTTCTTTTGATGGATTCAGTTGTAGATTCTCCCAGGTTAAGGTGTGAAAAGATTCTCAGAAGGGTCCTACAAAATTGTGTGCCACCCTATGGGTGCATAGCGGGTGTGATTCCACAGAAATTGATTCCCAGACACACAGTTTTGGGGATCAGTGGGTGAAGTGATGATCAGTGGTGAGTGGGTGCAATTGTAGGGCTCAAGTTGCAATTTACCACTGCTCTTCTTTGATGTTGTCATCACTGACCTGTCCATTCCAAGTCCAAGGGAAAACCATGGACATGGAGACACCTCCTCCAATAATGGTTTCATCTTCTTCTGCATTTCCTTCCTGCTTTTTTCCTTAAATGGGAAATATTTTATACGTGAGTTTGGATAGTTCTCATTTGCCAAAAGAAAAAAAAAATAGAATATTTACGTGCATCACAAACGCATATTTCAACATACGTTTTTATTTTCTCAATCATCTCTTTAATTATCTCACATACAGCACATCGTACAAAGTGCTACAGCAGTTATTCCAAATAATATCCGATCCAAACACAAGTGTGCCACTCTTCATCGACGCACAAACATATTTCATGTTAAAAAAAAAAACTAAAAGCAAATCTTAAGCGACTAATTAATAATCTGATTGTGCATCAACATGTTTAGAGAATTGAATCTTATATTGTTGACTGTGTATTTGCAGAAATAAGTGCTCCTATATATATATCCCTGCACGTTCGTGCTCGTACTTCAACTCATGAAGACTTGTTTATAATTCCACTCCTTTCCATTTTGTCCAGTTTTCTGAACTGTTTACGTACGTAGCCAGCAAATATTATAGTTCAGCAAGTTTTAGTAGTATAATAATTTCTTTGCTTTATCTCACTTCAAACTTGTTGTTGGAAAACAATAGCGAAGAATATGTTGATATACCCGACGATTAATCCTACGTATGCATTGCGCTGAAGAATACACCCAATTCCAGACAATAGCAAAAGCCAAAAGATCGAGACATTTACACACTTAAACTAAACACATTTTCTGTAAACACTTTCTTGAGGGCTTTTTTAAGAATATTCTTTTACACATTTTTTAATCATTCTTTTCTCATGTACGCCGTCACATCTCTAAAAAGTGCTACAATGATCGTTTTTCCATAAAAACTCTCAAGAAAAAAAATGCAATCCAAACCGGTTCTTTGGGATAGCTGCAAATGTTTTGGCCATGTTTTATACTTGTTGAAGAAGGTAAAGCTTGCTGCCATTGGTGAGGTGAGTATCAAAGTCTTGAATATATGAAGCACGCAGGTATTATGGAAGAAGTATCCTGTGCAAACTAACCACGTTTGCTGATGGCCAGCCAAAGGAGTGGCTGGCAGATTCAGGCATAAATTTCAATCTTAATCACATCAATGAATAATTTTCTTTTCTGGTTCTTTTTCACTATTTTTTTAAAAATTTTGGGAATCTTTATTACAATAATTCCCCCGCCAACTTCTTTCCACCTTTTCTATCTTTTATGGCCACCAGTCACTACTACTGTTGTCCCCCAGATTCTTTCTTTTGTGTTGCTTCATCTTCCATGTATGCAGCTGCATTTACGTGTATTTGTCTTTGTCTCCCCACTCTTCCTTTTCTGAGATGTATTATTCAGGGAGAAACATTATGCTAGCTTTTGTCTCTTTCTCTTCAGACACCACAAATTCCGTCAACCCAACAAAATTACAACACTTAAAGACACTTCTCGTCTTTGGCACTTGGCAATATGAGATTAGTACCAATTCATATATGATTTAGCGTATACACCGTCACAGTTGGATACACCGTCACAGTTGGATGATTGGCGACTGTACCAATTTTGAATGTTGATTTAAAATTCGGATTAGCTGTCAAATATTCAATGATGATAGTGTCTATATAAGATTAATTATTAATATTTTATGTATATATCCTGATGTTTAGCCTTGGTTATCTTATTAAAAATGCCAATTAACCACAAATTGAACGGCAATTAACAACTCAAGAAAATGTGTGACTTGTGAGTTCAGCAATATAAGTTCCTCCCATTTAGGTGCCTTTTAAGCAGGCCAAGCCTAAAAATTAGTTGTAGTTCAACTTCAACTAGTTGGCAATGGTATCTAGATTAATTACAAATGAAGTTTCATTTTACTAATGGAACGACCTTTTAATTCAACAAGATGACCGATCGAACAACTCCACATGGGATATCATGATCATATAATTAGCCTATCTATATTCATATATAGCTGCAGAGCAGCAAACAAAACTAGTAATCAAGGGGCCTGTTGGAGAAAGAGCTGTAAATTAATTCAAGCAACACCCTCGAATTTTTAATACGAATATGCTAGTGAACTGAAATGAATCATGCAACAATCTTCCCCACCAATTTTCATGGTTCAGGATTCAAAGCTTCTTGGGATCTGACAAATTTTAGTAGTAAAAGATACTTAATTAGTCAAGGCTAACAACTTGCGATGTTCCAAGTCTTCAAGATGTCTTATATAAATTGATTGAGCAAAACTTGGTTGGATGGAGCAGGCATCAAATTCGTTCATCATCAATCGTAACCCAACAAAGATGGATGGTTGATTCCCTTTTGGTACCATTTTTAGTCAGAAAAAGAAGTGTGAGCTGCTGATGCAAAAGTAAAGGCACCACAGAAAAGAAGAAGTTGTGATTCCAAAATTGTCCATGAAACAATGTCCAAGTTCTATATGAGAAAATCAAGAATATTCCTTCACACATTGATTGGGATATTCATATTCAGTGACTGGCCTCACCTTTAATTAATTAAAATACTGCTACTACTACAACTCCATGTGCTTTTGTAAGTTTAATCACTGCAAACTAGAAACCCCCTCTGGTCCCTTTCAATTATAAAGCTGCACAGAATAATTAATCACGCATCATTGGAAAGTAAAAATTATGGCAAAGTGGAAAACCCCCCATAGTCGTCCTTGGGACCTTTTAAATTTAAGGTCTTTAATTGCGTGAAATGAAGACGATTATAAAGCCGCAAAAAGCCACTCCATTATATATCACAAAATAAAAGGTCTGACAGGTATCTCCCTAACTAGTTAGCATCAATTGAATTCATCATACCACAAAAAAGCTGCCAAGCTCTACCACAATACTCCAACTCAGGAACCAATAATACAACAACCTCATGGTACTAGTACTAATAATTTCTGCTAAATTTAGTACACAAATTTGATTGAACCACACAAGTACTACTTAGTACACATGACAATTGCCACCTCATTAACTGGAATATGTTTTTCCTCATTAACTATTATCCTTTCAACTAAAAACCTAGTACTACACTTAAGCACAATCATGGGAAAACATCAAACAAACTAAGAACCAATTATTATATTTTTTTTCCCTAATTTTTCTTCTTCTTTTTTTTTTTGGAACTTTCCTAGGGGACTTCAACTTGAGCTTAAATTACAAACTAAACATATTTTGCTTCTTTTTCCTTCTTCCCCTTAAATGTCCCCAAAACAAACATGAAAATATAGTATAGTAATTAATAGTAGTACTGCTTAGTATAATCATAATACCATATCCCTAAGAGCACCAACTTCCACGAGCTTAGGCACAAGATGACCGCTTAAGTGAAGTGCCACCAGGCTTTCCCAACCACCAATACGTGTTCCGCCAATGAACAACGCCGGCGCACCACCACTGCCACCACCGCCACCACCATCTCCGCCCTCTTCACCATCCTGTCCGGCGGGAAGTGCGTCGATCTCTTCCTCGTCTAATTCTATGACGGTAGGGTGGACCCCGATGGCAGCTAGCAAACGTCTCATAACGTGGCACATGCAACAAGAAGAGCGGCTAAAGATGATCACCGGGTTTTCCGATATCAGCCGCTGGATTCTCATCTCAGTCGACTCGCTCACGTCTATAGCCAGCGGAGAACCGGTGGATGGCGTCAGCTCTAGCCTTACTCCGCCATCCGACAGCAACCCATATCGCCGGGCACCTTGCATGACCACCAGCAGGGCAGCAACACTAGCATAAATTGAAGTGGCTGAAAATAAGTAAACTTCTTGGAAGAATGGTTTTTGTTTGTCAACCGGGGAGGTAAAGCCTTAAAAGGAGAGGAGAAAGAGGGTGTGGGATACATATATATATATATATATATATATATATATATATATATATTATGCTAAATCAAATGAGAGGAGAGAAATGAAGAGAATGATTAAATTATACTACTACGAGTCCTACTAGGTAGAAGTAGAATTTTTGCACTAGCTGTTGTGACGTCATATAAAGTAACATAATGCGTAAGTTACTTTATGCTGCTATTTTGTGTATAGAGAAGTCAATAGTTGTTGTTGTATAGTACTTTGCTCCTTGTGTGGAAATGTTAGAACATGGAAGTCACACGCGCGAGGGGCAAAGAATGTGGTGCTACGTACTTGCACCTTAGGACAAAGGAGGAAAAGACATCAAATTCGTTCATGACGTGTTCCTTCTTGGCCTCTACTCAGACATCAGGAGCTACAAGTTTTCATTTTAGTACAAATGTCTCCTTCTTGGAGAAATACTTCATTCTTAATTAAAGTTTGCCTCCCTAACTTGCTTGCTCCTTAGTGACACTTTACTCCTCTAAATTTTAAATATATACACTTTTTTTTTCTTATAGTGATCAGTCAAACACTAGAGATGAGCTTTCCATCCAAAATTTTTATAAATTGACCTGCTTGCACGCGCGCGCGCACATATATATATATATATTGATTATATGGAGCACGTTACAGTTTAAATGAAAGAAACTTAGCAGGGTTGTATTTTGATCATGCAAAATATAATGTATATTTTGACCCATTAAAAAGTTAGTGGCTGATAAATTGAGCATAGCTATAGTTTAGGGAGAAAATATAACTAGTGCTCATTTTATAATACCTACGTCCTATTATTCATATTATTTTTCACTTTTTAAATGTCCTAATTAACATAAGAGACGTATTTAAAAGTCAATACGAATTCACACAACTGGTTATTTTACCATTCAAAAATAGTTTTCACATATACCAATACACTTCAAACTATTTATACTAATAAGGGTTATATTGCAAATTCACCACATTAGACTAAATAATTTATTGTTTTGTGAAAATAGGAATCCAGAAAAACTATTAGTACTTTTTTAGAGGAGGGATTACTTTTCTTCCCCCTAAAGTTACGTTTTTGTTTCTATTGTTGCTCAAAGCTCAATGTTTGATTCATTTAACTATTGGGATGATTTTATGCAGTATTCCATATTTCATATTCTAGGGTTAGGATTTAGGCAAATCATATTCTATTACTAATAATTCTTGGTGCTTGTGGCTGTAGTACGGGGTATTGTAAGAATGAATGGATATATGATGGCTTGAAGCATATGCTTTTTGATAATTTTTTTAATTGATGAAACGTCTATTCTAAATTAGACCACTAATTACTCATATCCAATCCAAAATACGTGGACAAGCTTATGTTTTGAGCAAGATGGGCCATACCGGTGTCTAATTTCACCTTTTCCTTTTTCTCAATGAAATGATGAAGTGCTAATGACAAAGAACCGATACACTAATTCCGTTGAGAATTCATAATTAGATGCCAAGTATGTCAAAGGAGAGGTATAGTAGAAGAATTTCTTTGTTTTCCTAATTGAGACTAATACCAATCTTTATGTGGTCCTTCTAAATGTGAGGTGACTTCCCTGTACTAAATGAAGATTTATGTACGTGTCTTGGGAGGACATTATCTCATGATTCAATTATTTTTAAACAATTTCACTAATCCCAGTCCATTTCATTTAAGATTAAGAAATCAAAAGAAGCTCTTTGAGCTATCCTGTTTAGATTGCAATTTTTTTGAAATTTTTGTAAAAAATACACTGTAGCGATTTGATATACATGAAATAAAAAATAATTAAAAATAAAAATGATCGATTGGCTAAATATGCCACTCTTACCCGGGATTGGTGAGAGCTACAAGGCTATCAAGATATACGGTCGACAAAATTTGTGGAGGTTTGTAGGGTTGGCTCATTTGGCCGATCCTTAGAAAGAAAAAACGATTGAAAAATATGTTTATGAATATGTATAAAATTTTGATAAAAAAATGAATTTTCAAACAAGGCTGGACTAAAATCCAAAAAATTCGATAATCACCATTGCAAGTTTCTGAAGAACGTCAATTGGAGTTGGCCGTTGACCACCTAATACCTTTGATTCTTGGGGTAACAATTACTAATACTATAGCAAACAAACAGCAAAGGGCGTGTGAAGTCAAGACTCGATATTTGGGTATACGGTCCCGATTGGAGTGGCAAAGGGCAGATCACATGGACTGTTGGCGTACGCTAGAATTATTAAAATGCCGCATGACGTCATCTTGACTTCGACGCCGATTTTGGTGGGCCCCGTGTGGTGGGCCGACCGCTGACGTAACTCAATGCCAACTAGAACTGAAGCTGACGTGTAGTAATTTACTGCTTAGTCTGCTGCTACTAAATTGTCTCCTTATGGTGGACTCCAACTCCCAAAAGTGGGGCCAGACCTCCCTCCGGGATGACGTAATCATCGGATCTGAGCTTGCAGTCCTCGTCACCCTGACGTCGTCATCTTGACACGTGGCTGGCTGTGTAACTTCCCTTCGGCTATGGAGATTGTGGGCTTAGTTCCATTAGTTGCTTTTTTCGTTAGTCTTGGGATGGAGTGGACCACTGGGAAACCACCACGTGGTTTGTCAGCGTGCAGCCCGCATTTAAGTGAAGATGATGTGCGCCCTTTTTGTACAGTAGAGTACCACTTTTTCGATTTTATTTTTAATCTTTTACGTGCCATCAATGTATATACGAACAAACGGGTATTAAATATATGTCACGTATATTTAATTTTAAATTTAAAATTTATGTCAGCTTGTAGCATGTATTTAAATGAAGATGATCTACGTCCTTTTAGTATAGTAGAGTACCACTTTTTCCATTTTTTGTAATTTTTTTTTATGTACTATCAGTGTATACATGAACAAACAGTATTAAATATATGTTACGTAATTTAATTTAAAATTTTATACATATAGAATAAATTTGCAATTATTAGTATAAAAAAATTTTACTTTGCAACCACTTTTTCTTTTTCTTTTTTTTTTTAAAAAAATTATTTATGTACTATCAATGTATCAACGAATGGTGTTAAATATGAGTAGCGCACCACTTTTTCCTTTTTTTTTTAATTTTTTATTACTATCTACCTACAAATGGTGTTAAATACATGTCATGTAGTTATATATATGTCAAATAGTTTTAAAAAATTTTACACTGACAGTATTTACAAACTTAGTCCATTTCTTTTTGTTTTATTCTTCTTATTAAAGAGGGATTTGGGGTAGGTTGTGCTTTGTAATTTCTTGGGGTTGTTGTAATTTTTTAATTATTTAATACAATAACGTGGATATTGCATTTGCATTTTAGTATAATATATGTTGTATGAAATGCAACCAGATGGAGACGGAGTATAACAATAATGGGTTTAATTAATTGTGTGTGGGGAGCGAGTTCCCACCCCCATTGGTTTTACGTCATTCAACCCAAAAAAAAAAAAAAAAAGCGTCAAGCTAAACCGTTGATGGTGGTAACCATAGTGTCTGCCATGACCAAATTTTAAGATTAGGGATTGCATCAGTCATAGAAGGAGGGCCCTTTTCATTTGCTTTTGTCTTTGCCAGTTCCTTAACTGCCTGGAGCCCGTTTGGATTGGCACTCTTTTGGAGTTTTTACTTTTTATTATAAAAATACACTGTAATACTTTTTTTTAAAATAAATGATAAAAATGGTCACTAAATTATCTATAATGGCACGTACGGTCTAGTAGCCAATATTTTTTGGGGTTAAAAAGGCCTTTCAACTCATTAAGACGAGCCTTTTGGGTCATATTGTCCAATTTAACTAGTAAATCAATCGAAAAAAACGCATTTGAACTACTATTATAAGTTTTCAAGGGCAAAAAGCAGGTCATTTCCGATTGATTTAGCAGAGAATGACTCAAAAAGCTTGTTTTAAGGAGTTGAGTGATTTTTTTGGCTAAAAAAAATCGTTGATTAGATTGTCTCATTTTAAATTGTTTAGTGACCATTCTTGATATTTTCTCATATTTTCTTAAAATGTGATGCACATAAATAAAAAAAGTGATTGAAAAATATGATAAAGAATATTCTAACAAATATTCAAAAAAAATTTCTACAAAAATGTGCAATCCAATACGTAGTCATTCGACTTTTAGGCCCTGTTTGGCACTTGAGTTTTTTACCAAATTTGTCTGCTACAAGTTTTTTAAAAAATTTTAGCTACAGTAACCTCCAAAAACTACTTAAAGTTTTTAAACCATACACTTCAAAATATTCAAAAATTTACACACTTTAAAAAAAATTTTAAAAACTTCTACAGTAAGTTACAGTAAAATTTTAGACAAACACCCAAAAAACTCACTTACCAAACGGGACCTTAGTTTTCAGTTGTACCAAGCACATCTAGACTTCCATGTTAAGATTTTGAGAGTTTTGAATATTTGTATCACAACTCAATGGATCGATGACAATTTTATGCTGTCAGTCGTAAATAATTATCAGCCTATGAATCTTGATCGATTTTTTTTTTCCTTGTTTCGTATCAATTCTTAACTGCTGACTTGGTTTGCTTATTATCATTCCTTGTCCGGTTATATCGACCAGATTGTGGCGTAACTGATGCTACTAACTCTCCTAAGAACCTTAAAATCTTTATGAAAAGATTCTTCGTGTGATTGGAATCTTTCTACTGTTTCATAAATATGTTTCCCCTTGAGAATGATTTGGGATTCTTGAACTGGAATTGACTTAGCAGTCAGCAACCACTCCAGCACATTCCTGAAAGACAAAATGGTCGTCAAAGCAGATTCACTTTGGCCTGCACAGCCTTGGCCCCAGAGGGAATCGTTTTCCCAACTTCCCCACCCACTTAGGCCTTTGCCATGCAACTTTAAAGTCGATCAATGGGAGGGGGATACAAGTGTTGTTCATAACAGCACTCAAATGAAATCATTTTTCCACTATCTCTTTGTTTTTTTGTACCGAAAGCTAAATATTGATTGGACAGCAATTTTGAGAGATTGGGATAGACGATGAATAATTGGCAAATTCGTAGAAGGTGATGAAGAGATGTTATTGGACTTCTTGTATCTTATATGGTCGAACTCCAAGTTCATACATTCGAAAAATGCAAAAACTATTGCAGGCAGCTTATATCTCCCCAACCTTTATTTTTGTAAAATAAATTTCTACCATACTTTGATAAAGTTGTACAACAGGTCCTTGAGTTGGTCAAAATGATAAAGTTTATGTCATGACTTTCTGTCAATTCAAATTTGAACCTTTCCTTAGCACGTCTTATTTCTCATGTGATTGACAAATTATTGCACGAAACAGAATTTTCTAAATGCGTACTCTTGAGCAGCGACTGGAAGCTACCTTAGCAGCAACGAAAACAACAAAAGAAGTTGTACTAGTACAGTTCACTATTGTTGGTCTTGTTTGGGAGTGCGGGGGTAACGGGACCCTTGGTTTTGGTCACCAATCACCATGCACAGGGTCAAATCGCCATGTCAACGATTGAATAGTGATGGAAGGGATTTTCTTCTTGTGCGATTATCCGGGCCAATTGTATCTTAAATATTATGTGTTAACATAATAAATTTGGATACAAAAACGACATATATATATGTATACTGTGAATACCCCCAATTCCTAATTTGAGGATTTGAATTCTGAATTTGACAGTGAAGAAAACTTTAAGAGTTCTCCTCTAATCACTGAACCAGTGAATCCCAAATAATCACCATATTTGAGACAACGTTTTTTCTTTATAGTTTCCCTGGGAGCAGGGTTTCAAGATTCAAACTTTGGACAGCCTACAACTTTTTAGGGCAATTACTTAATTACTGGACTGCCAAGTTTAATTACTTTATTTTTGTATTTTTTGTAGAAAATTTTTTCAGCTAATATTCCTTCTCACATTTTTTAATTACCCTTTTTTTTTAATCTCACATACATCACATTTTATAATAATAAAAAAATCCTACTATAGTAATTTTTTTTCCCCAAAAACTCTCCAGAAAGTGCAATCCAAACCAATTCCTTGCTTGGTATCGATTAGCTAGCTAGCCTGAAAATAATGCAGATTTGACGGACGGTAGTAATGTTCGAGAAATTGCTGAGTTGGAAGCAGCCAAGACAACACTAACAACCATTTGTTTGCTTGTGGCTGTGGGACAAATTATCTCTACGTCACTCATGTGCTTTATCATCTAAATAATTCCCCCATATCGGGAGGCTGTTACTGGTCTGCACCACCACTAAGCAACAGCTCTTAAACCACAGATGTAAACTAAAACTTTCGCATGGATAATGATTTTGGAACGAAGCAAATACCATTGTTGACTTTGAGATGATCTAAACTACGTCCTGCACTTTTGTACCAATAATGGTGGTAATATCCCATCATTACGAATACAATCTTGTAGAAAACGTATTCGTGTCAATTAGATGAATCATACCAATTGAAAGATTCTATGTCTGCCAGCATAGGCAACTCATTTGTGCACCCGAGGTTTTACGTTTTATAGAAGTTCATGATAAACATAGTACCTAGGTCTTATCATGAATCCCATGCATTTTCTTACGAAAGTAAGAATTCGGCAAATAAACCTGAAGCTCCAGGTTACTTTCAAAGGCCGACAAGTTTTGAAGGCTCCCAGGAAACTTATCTACCCAAACCCTTCCCCCCCAAGACCGATGTGGGATTGAAACCCCGACAAGGGCCAAGCCTCCATGTGCTGCTGCTACAAGGTGGCTTCACTAATCCACGCACCCACACCCCAAGCTAGACGAACCCAGTGGTATGTTTCTTTCCATGCATTTTCTTACGAAAGTAAGAATTCGGTAAATAAACCTAAAGCCCCAGGTTACCTTCAAAAGCCGGCAACTTTTGAAGGCTTCCAGGAGACTTAAATTATCTACCCAAACCCTTCCCTCCCAAGACCGATGTGGGATTGAAATCCCGACAAGGGCCAAGCCTCCATGGGCTGCTGCTACAAGGTGGCTTCACTAATCCACGCACCCACACCCCAAGCTAGACGACCCCAGTGTAGGTCTTATCATGAATCATCTCACGCACTTTACGCTCGACTTTGTTTTAAGGTTGTGATTGAACAATCATCGAATCAGACTAGTGCACGAACTGATCGGGACTAAAATTCAACTATAACTGAACAATCGTGCATGATCAAAGTTAAGTAACATAATTGATGAATCTCATATGTTACTGAACAATGGAAATAACAAAATTTTTACATCAATAAAACCTGATATATGGTACTTAACTCGATCAAACTCAATGAACTTTTGGACCTCTACATATATGTGCTTGAATTCAAGTTCAAAAAGTTATTTGAGCTGCTTAAACATCATCAAGAAGTTGCTTGGCTAGTTTACACCCTCCTTGCTTTGGGCAACCATATCCTCACTCCATGAATTATGCAGAGTTGCTCGAATTGTATTGGAACAATTAGATCCCTGTTCCCTTGACTTTATTCACGCTTGCCCTGATTTCTGTGTTCCATAGATTGAATAAGTGCATGAATATAGGGTCTGTGTAAACTTCCGTGCATGATTGCTACTACCTAATCCCAATGCCAAGCCAAGTTATTTAGCACTAAAAGTTGTGAATTATGGTTGGTTCATCAAAGCTTCAAGAAATTCTACAGGGTTTACAATTATGACTCCAATAACTGCCCCAAGCATATTATATTTCACCTGAAAGTCATAGGAACCAGGCTGGCAGTGGTTGCAAACTTCCAATCTAAACAGTATAGAATTGAAGTTTACTTCGCTATTTTCAAGGACAATTAAAATATTATGGACTTTCTAAATTACTCATGCAACGTCAAGCGATCAGGAATATATTTGTTGTTATTTATTTGCTGGAGAAATACTATTATATTGTTTCGCTAATCGTGCATTACTGAGGCAGTAATGAAATTCTTGCAGGACACTAGAGGACAAAGTATCCGAAGGTGCACGTGCAACAGGTAATTAAAGAAACAATTTGGCAGCAATCCCTCCCAACGTCTAAGCAGACAGCAATCACCTTCCTTCCGATGCCGGCGATCGCCCGTACTCCCACCCCAGACCATGTGTAGGTACAACTTCAGGTACGACTCATTGGATCGTGTGAAATGCCACCCCATAACATTTATCTATTAGGACCTTATGCTAAAATATTAATCAATCTTTAGGCGTATAGTCTTGGAAAAATGTTACTTTATCAAAGTCTTGTGAATTGAGAGACAAGCTGGGAGAGCTTTCTCCCGTTGCGTAATTTGACCCGACTCAATTCTGTATTAGTTGGGGACCAAATTCGCTCCAAGACACCAAAGGGTTTATTATATACAAAAAAAAAATGAGGGGGTCTTTTTTTTTAAGATTTTTTTTTAAAAAAATAGGAAGAGATGAAATTCAAAAAACAAGGAGGGAAAACAGGAGAATTGACCCGACTCAATTTTAGTCATGAAAAAATCATCTGATAATCAATAAAAAGTGAACTCATTGCCAATTTTTCAGACGATGAATGAATATTAATAATTCTAGAGTTTCTAATAACGAGTTTACCTTTTTGGGCATGTAAAACATTAAATACAAAGATATATATATATATAAATGTTCTATTTCATCTCTAATTAAACAAAATCAAGACATTGTTCATAATGTATTCTCCAGAAGATTTTTTTTTTTTTTTTGAGTATTGTGGTACTATCTAGTATGTAATACATGTAAAGTGAAAACATAATTTAAAAAATATGTTAAGAGAACATTATTGTTTAAAAACTCAAAAAAAATTCAAAAAAATTGCAGTCCAAACAAGCCGTTAGTCTATGCAAATTTTGGGCCTCGTTTGGCAAATGTGTTTTTTGGATGTTTGTCTAAAATTTTGCTGTAATTTACTGTAGAAGTTGAAAATTTTTTTTTAAAAGTGTTTAAATTTTTTGAATATTTTGAAGTGTATAGTTTAAAATTTTTGAGAAATTTTTTAAGATTATTGTAGTTAAAATTATTAAAAAATTTATAGCAGACAAACTTGATCAAAAACTTATTTGCCAAACAGGACCTTGATTTCTTCTTGCATGATAAATTTAAAGTCATTTACAATCACGTACAGACAGTGGCGGAGCTAGGAATTAACTTTGGGGGGGGCGAGTCTATAACAATGAAAGTAAAATATATTTACAAAAAAAAATAATGTGAACATATATACCACAATATTAGAAACAACCTTATATAGAATGAAAATTACTTATACGCTTCACATATACAAAAATATCATCATATTTACAAATCTAATTGACTGTGTGAGACATATGAAATTGTGCACGACGACTTTTAATTTTATCAAAGTCATCAATGATTGAATTTACATCAAAAGTTCTAGCAATTTCTTTCTCAATATACATTATCATAGAGTTGGCAAGAAAGTCTTCCTCCATCCTAGAACGCAAAAAAGTCTTGATGATTTTCATAGCAGAAAATGCACGCTCTGTTGTAGCTGTTGAAACAGGAAGAGTCAAAATAAGATGAATCAATCTATCAATAAGAGTATAGCACATTGACTTTCTTGTCTTCGCTAACACTTGGCACAACTCCTGAAGTGATGACAAATTTTGAAGTTGAGAATTACAGGAAAACTCAATCTGGAAAAGCTCTAATTGAGTTCTTAAGTGTAACTTCTTTTGATCTGTGAAGTCAGCTGAATAAAACTTGTTTGCAAGTTGACAAATTTGTTCAATATTGAAAGCCTGAAAATTATCTTTGGGGTGCAATGCTGAACTAAGAATAAGCAACTCTATTACATCTTCCTTAAACCTATTCTTCATTTCAAGTATTTGAGAATCAACCGTTGCCAAAAACACATCAATCCTGTAGTGATGCTCCATGGTAATTGGATCATTTTGTTTTCGAATTCTTCCTCGACCTGCTTTATAAATGACATTCATATCAGGCATCTCTATATTTCGTGCATCACCAAATGTCTTTACATTGGTGAACAATTCATTCCATCCATTATCTCTGTAACTTTGAAGTCGATCCTTTGTTACTGAAACCAATTTAAGGGCATTCAAAATATCTTGAGATTTGCACTGTAAAGCTTGAGAAAGTACTTGTGCAAATCCTAAAATGTCCCTCATCATATGCATAACAAGAACAAAATCAAAGGATGTCATGAAATTATAAACTCTGTCAGCTTCACTTCTTTGAGTTGATGTATTTCCATAATTGACAACATCAATTAGGACAGAGCAAATGTCTTCATATTCTGTGAATAAGCTACAGATAGAACTAAAATGTGACCCCCATCTTGTAGTCCCTGGCCGTTTTAAGGTACCCATCTGATTCTGACCCCTACCAGTCTCAAGTTCATCAATAGCAATCAATTCAGCAATTCTAGCAGCTCTAGCAACTCTAAGTTGGTCCACCCGTTTGCAAGAAGATGAAACTAAATTTATAAGAAGAGATAAGTTTGTAAAGAATTGTTCCACAGGAATTACCTCTTGAGATGTTGCTACCAATGTTAATTGCAGTCGATGAGCAAAACAGTGAATATAATATGCATAGGGGCACTCCTGAATAAATAATGCTTGCAGTCCATTCCATTCTCCACGCATGTTACTAGCTCCATCATATCCCTGGCCACGAATGTTTTGCACACTAAGATTATGGCGAGAAAGGACATCACATATCTCCTTCTTCAAAGTCAAGGAATTGGTTTCGTGCACATGAACAATGTCAAAAAATCTCTCTCGAATATAGCCTTGCTTGTCCACAAATCTAAGAACAATAGCCATTTGCTCTCTTTTTGATCTATCTTGAGCCTCATCAACAAGTATAGAAAATTTTGAATCACTAATCTCCTCTCGAATATGCTTTTGTATCTTGATCGACCAAATGGACAATATCTCCTTTTGGATCGTAGGAGAAGTATAAGATGCATTTCGAGGAGCATTATCAAGAACCACAGCAGCCACTTTTTCATTATAAGAAGACACATGCTTGATCAACTCAATAAAATTACCTCGATTGTTAGAATCTAAACTTTCATCATGACCCCTAAAAGCCACCGCTTGAAATGCACACCATTTTGCAGCATCTATGGAAACTTGAAGTTGCAACCGATTTTTTGCAACCTGCTCAGAATTTTGCTTCTCAATAATTTTGTCAAGATGTTGCAATGAGTTTCCCAAATCATGATAGCATTGCATTGCCACTTTGTGTGATGAGTTAGGATCTTTTCCAATGTGATTTAAAAAAGCACAATTTTTTCCATCATTTACCTTCTTCCAAGATCTAAATCCACTAGTTGTGAAGGCCATTGATCCAAAACGGTCCGTTGGCTTGGAAAAAAGTGAGCAAGGAAGACAAAAGGCAGCATTCTTTGTTGGAGAAAATTCCAACCAATCTGGAAACAATTTATACCAAGAGAAAAGGAAACGTCGGCCCTTCTTGTCAACAACCATTGATTCAATCGGAAGCTCAGGTTGGTATGGCCCAAACTTAATATATGCTCTCCGTACCTCATCCCTTTGATGCTCTAGATATTTCCAAATGGATTTTCTCTTTCCAGGATCACGTTCTATGGATGAAATATCAAACTCTAATGATTCAGCTCTACAAAATTTCTTTGTTTGATGCTTAGGAGAAGAATCACGAAGAGGACAAGGAATTTCACCACTTCCATTTGGTTCTAGGCGTCTTTTCTTGAAAAAAGAATCAATTGTCCTGTTGGCCATTACCACTACATTTGCAACAAACAACAACATGTAATCGAAATAAAATTGATTGAGAAATGCTGATTATGGCCTATAGAGATGGAATAAAAGCAGCAAGAACATTTGCAACCTAAGTAGACATAAGTGACATGCACAAAGTATTATTCAATAATAAAATGCAAACAAATGATAAAAGATCTCCATTAGAGCAGAACAAGTTCTCATTTCAAACATATCTCAAGGAAGTTTTCATAGCTTGTTATTAAATCGGCTGAACTTGAACAACTAACACCTACTTGAACTCATCAACTACTGTAATCCAAAAAATAATCAATAACTATCCATGCCAGTAAAAGTTTCTATAGTCTAAACAAGCATTACTATTTACTATAAAGTATAAACGGAAACCGACCATAATAAATATGTACAATTTAAACTCCTTAAATTGCATAGCAAATTCTCAGCACAATGTCGAGAAACAAAGATAGACAATTCTAGAGGAACAAATATTTAGGAGGTCTTACTGCTTGCTGTCTAGAAAACCATGATAAATAAAGCAATGATAAAATAAAATCAGTAAAATGACAAGCAGAAAACTAAAACTCAATGCGACAAGTTATTTGCCCAATAAAACTCAATGCTACAAGTACGAAAAATAATACAAGTCCCTCTCGATCAATTCATCAAACAACTAGCGGGCGAACTTTTTTACACCCACATTTCACTAAATAAATTTCTAAGTAAAAAAAAAAAAATTTTACACCCCTCCAATTGTTAAAAAAAAATTACCTAGACGGCTAGACCATGCAAAATGCAATGGTACAAATGTACAATCCTTAGCCAGCGGGGAAAGGTCTTCACAGGAGAAAGTTTCTTCAAGCCTTCACAAGAGAAAGTTCTTCAAGGCTCAAGCCTTTGACGTTTCTATTTTCTACTTTGACGTTTCTACTTAGGAAGAAGAATTGTGGCAGTCAATTGCCAAGTTAACTAAGTGGCGTCTGGCTATCTTTTCTTTGCACTCCATACGTTAAGAAAATAATTCTCTGTTATTTGGGCTTTCAAATATTATTATTTGGGCCCTTGAGGGGGCAAAGTAAATTTTTTGATTAATTTTTGGGGGGGGCAAAACATAATAATAAAATTTTTTTTACTTAGAAATTTTTTTTTTAACAATTGGAGGGGGGCGGTTGCCCCCCTGGCCCCCCCCCCTTCCCTCCGCCCCTGCGTACAGACAAATCCATTCCTCCAAAGACCATTAGACCACACCACCCGCCGGCTCCGTGCCGCGATGTTTTTGTGCACAGAATTTATTAGGCCATCGGCGCGGGAGGCTTCGGCTTTAATAGCAGACGAAGACGTAGAACGGAGGGAGAGTGGAATCATTGGTGACTGACGACTAAAACTTTAACAAAAGAAACAAAAGGAATCATGGGTGACGCAAGCAAGGCAGCAATTGAGCTGAAATGACAGGTCTGTAAGAGAGAATGGGGTCCTACTATCCAACGTCATCATCTGAATCTATGTCGGCTCAATAAGTGCTGGTAGTGGAGGAGTACTCGTTATCTTTCCTTTCTGGACTTGTTAGTAGTATTTGCCAATTCCAATGGCCACCTCCCTCGTCCCTCAATCACCAACTATGAGTTCAGTTGCAGTTGGTCCTCATCAAGCAAGTTCTAGGTCTTTGAGGGGTCCAATGCATTTGGTCACAAACTTGGGAATTATTCGTGGGAGAGTTGGGGCAAAGCTCAAAAGGGGTGCTTTTGTCCTCTTGGGAGGTTGTAATAGATGGGAGTCCATCTTGATTGGATCATTTGGTTATGGCTATGATGATGAATTTTTTTTATTAGTATTACATTAGCATCCCATTCAGCAAAGTCATAGCTTAAAGCAAAAGGAAAAAAAAAATGGGATGATGAATTTGTGTACATAATACTTGTGGTAGTCAATTTATGGAAGCAAAATTCAGTATGTATGGCCAAAGTTCAATTTAAAAGAATGCACAAATTCGTGCCTTTCTTTTTTGAATTTTTTTCAGTATAAGTGAGAAGATCTCGAACCCAAAATCTATCATTTACACTATCTCTCTCGTACCATCCAACTCATTATTCATGGTTTTTGTATATTGCTATCTTCAAACTAAACGCTTTAGTTTAGTGTGGATGGATTTGGATTGCAGAAAAAGAATAGATTCCGAATTTCCAAGCTAATCTTTGGTGGTACATCTGCAGAAGTTACTACCCTCCCGCAAGGTTATGGTTTTTGGTCGTCCTCATTTGCCAGGCTTAATAGACCGATGGAAGCCAATTTTGGAGAATGCATCTTGAGTGAGCCCAAATGTGGTCCACACATCCCACAATTGTAAAGTTAAATCCAAGCCTGGCCTGCCGAGTGAGCTCAAGATGGAACATTTCAGGACTAAAATAGGAAGAGCCCAACTATGGAGGAAACCAGATGTTCTCTAATTCTCATCCATTTTCATATATATATTTTTTACAGAAACCAGCAGGATTCAAATGGAGAATAAGAATTAATTTGAAACTAACTAATGAACTGGGCTGACTTTAAAGTTATAGAATTACAAACCCGCCCAGTACAAGGTGGACTCCAAACACGTAGAATAACAAACAAGGGCCCAACAGAACCAGTGGAATTTGTCGGTTTTATCAGCGCAAAGGTGCTTTCTATCACTTTAATTTCTTTTGGAGGTGAGGAGGTCAAGGCATGCCATTGTTTGGATTACACATTATTTTCATCTTATGTATTTGTATTATTAATATATTTTTCAATCACTTTTTTATTTAATATACATTACATTAAAAAAGTGCTACAGTATTTTTTCCACAAAATTATTTCAAATAATTTACTGTCCCAACACAGTGATTCTTATAGATGGCTTAGCAATGGTGTTTCAATTGATAATCAAACGGTTTATGATGATTTTTACAATTTATCTATCAATGATAGTTTAAACAGTAACAAGATTCAAATTAAAATGCCCTCAATACAAATGCCAAATCTTTACCATCTTAATTACCAGACAAGAACTACTATACCAAGTAGCTCATAAACATCATGGGTGTTTACAACACAAAAGGAGAGATAGAAAGAGAGGAAAACAATTGAACCCTTTAAATTAGGGAAATAAGCATGAAAATGCCATGAAAATGTTAAAGAAGAAGGACTGTATGCATTCCCTCCAATAATTTGAGGTATTTGTTTTTAGGGGAATAAAAGGACCCCAAAAGAAATAAAGGCTTATTTATGCCTAGGGAAAGAATAGAGGTCCAAAAATCAGAAACTTCCGGAACTATCAAGAACTTTCTAGAACTATTTACAAGCGTCCTCGTGTGGGCACCACAGCAGACCAGCTGTCCCACAAAATCTCAAGACCCATCACTGACTTCCAAAGGACAGAATTGTCAAAGAACCTTCCCATAAAGTTCCTCAAAAGGCCAACGAACTCTCCACTCCCCTCTAAATATCTCTTCTTCCCTCCAGAAAATTCCAATCCTGCCCCATAAATAACGCATCATTCTCCCTCTCTGCCCCCTAAATTCTTTCCAACATCCCATTTCCTAATTCCCTTCTGCCAAAATCTTCTTCACTCGAAAATGACTTAGCTCCATAACTCCTCAGTCCACCGCCTGCCTGCTCAGTACTCAACCCATATACCAAACCCAATAAAGATTGAATTTTTACTTCACAATTAAGCTATGGAAAATGTGACCATCAAGATAGAAGAAGAGGAAGAGGGCTTCGTCTTTCCATTCAGTGAAGGCGGAAGCACTGGTGCTGCTGCTGGTTCATCTTCTTCACCGAGGCCAATGGAGGGCTTGCATGACATGGGACCACCACCGTTCTTGACCAAGACATTTGATATGGTGGAAGATCCTTCAACTGATTCAGTAATCTCGTGGAGTAAAGCTAGAAATAGCTTCGTTGTTTGGGATTCCCATAAGTTTTCCACTTCTCTGCTTCCCAAGTACTTCAAGCACAGTAATTTCTCAAGCTTCGTCCGCCAGCTTAATACCTATGTAAGTACTGACTACTACTTTCTCGAATAGTGTAATCAAGTTTTGATATTTCTTTGATGTTACTGACTAATTGTGCCTAATTCCTCATGGGTTGCTTTCCATTTTCTGTTTCATTTGAGTTCAGTTCAACTTTGGGTTGTGGCCGAACCGTTTTATTGGATTCAACGTTCTAGCACAATTTGATCTTTTCTTGGTTACTTTGTCCGCTGAATGCGGTTTAGTATTTGGTTTTGATGTTTTGTCTTCATTTTCTTTGTGGTTTGTAAATTGTTGAGATGTTCTGCGTAATGGGGATGTGATTTGAGTGCCCCGCCCTCTTTACGTTTGATGCAAATTGGTGCACTCGACCAAATGTTGTTGTTTGCTTCCTGCTGTTATAAATGTTCCATTGAGTATCTTTTGATAATCCTGCTGCAGCTTTTATATTTTTTTGGTGCATTTTTATCGATAATAAACTGCTGGTGATCTTGATGAACTTTAACAATAGCATAATATGCTTAGTTGGCACTGTGACACTATTAGGTTGATTCTTCTTCTTGTGATGCAGATTAAGTTAACGGTAAGTAGATGCTGATTTTGATAGTGGATTAGTTGGTCCTGAATGAGTGCATTTGATTGCAGGGTTTCAGAAAAGTGGATCCCGATCGATGGGAATTTGCAAATGAGTGTTTCCTTGGGGGGCAGAAACATCTCCTGAAGACCATCAGGAGGAGAAGGAATGTCATACCAAGCATTACCCAACAAGAAGGAGGCGGTCCTTGTGTTGAATTAGGGCACTATGACTTGGAAGAAGAAATTGAAAGACTTAAGAGCGACAGAAACTCGTTGATGGCCGAAGTCTTTAAACTTAAACAACAACAGCAGACTGCAAGGGACCATGTCATGGCGATGGACGAAAGACTTAAGGGTACGGAGAAAAAACAACAGCAGACAATGAGTTTCCTAGCCAGAGCTTTTAGTAATCCGACTTTTCTCCAGCCATATGTGGATAGACATCGACAGAGACAAGAACAACAGCGAATTCAGATTGGGCATAAGAGGAGGCTGACAATGACCCCCAGTGTGGAGAACCTGCAAGAAGTGGCATCAATCGCTGCGGATGCTGATCAACTTCTCAATGACTCAGGCGGAGAGCAAGAACTGGTGAATATGCAAAGAGAGATGGAGACTTTGCTATTTACTGCAGCATTGGATGACGAACCAAGCAGTATTGTAAACTTGAATTCACCGTCAATTCCTACTAGTGCTGCCAATGTCGATCCAGTTGCTGAACACATCTGGGAGGAATTGCTTACTGGAGATCTTGTTACTGAAAATGAAGCAGAAGTTGTGTTGTTGGGAGATCAACCAGAGGCTGATGTGGAGGTTGAGGATTTGGTTGCTGAAACACCTGAGTGGGGTGAGGGTTTCAGTGACCTTGTCGATCAAATGGGATATCTTATCGCCAAGCCTGACGATACAAGCAAATGAGGCTAAATGATTCTCTGATGTCCTTGACACACATTCCTGTCTGAGATTAAGTATGCCTCAAAAATTTCGACTGGCCTTTTTCTGCTGTTCTGCAGCAGCTAATGCCTAATGCTTTTTTACCGTATAGGCGGGAGGTGATGGTTGCATGGAGGCCAATCAACTGATCCTGCTTTTCTGTATCCTTTTAGTATCTCATGGAAAATATTTGTATTCTAGAGTTTCTTAAAGTCTAGAAAGTTTTCCTCTTTTTGACTAGTCTACATCTTTTGGTGCGTTTTGCAGATGCAGATGCTTAGAGAATGTCACGAGGGAGTCACCTCCATCATTCTTTACCGTGTCTTTTGCTCTTCTTGTCCCGTCTCATTTTGTATGTTGTTGACTTGTAGTATCAAGTTCAGATTTCTTTTGTGTATGTATAAAGGTATTCTTTTATGCAAAAATTTTAGCAGTGTCATCTTATCGTGGTTTCATTCTGCTGAAATTTCTATATTTGCTTTTCATGATTGAATCCATATAGCCCAAGTGCTCAATTCTATGCTCGGCAAATGGTTGTCCGACAAGGTTTTATGCTTGGGGCTTGTACTGATTAAAGTGATATAGCATCACGCTGAAACTCTTTTGCAGGAAAACTAACCTGGCTTCACACAGTAGCTGTAAAATCTTGGAGGCTGGACTCTGACCGGAGAGGTGGCACAACCTATTCGATGTTGCAGAAGGTCGAAGCAGAATGCAGGTGGGTTATGGATCAGGCCTTTTAGAGAGAATTAACGGACCAGGACAAGCTATGCTGCTTCCAACCACTCCCCATAAAACAGAATATTTGAGGCAGCGTTTGGCTTTTGATTACAGGGTTATTGTGAAGCTTCTCGATCTCCACCTGTGAAAAGGGAAGTCCCAAGTCTGTTACATTACGCGTTGAGGATTGCAGCTGCTTGCTTAACCTTGACAGGAGTGCAAAGTTAACATTTTTGCTCCATTTATATTTAGCCAACAAAAGAAGATGGAAACGTTTAATCAGGGTACCAGCAGCATTAATCTTGGATTCAAGAATTCTTTAGCGGTTTTACTCTTTTTCCTTTTTCGTGATTTCTCCAGCTGATTCTTTTTGTATTTTTGTTGGTGGCAGTCTGAATTGACTTTGGTGGTTGCTTGGTATTGCAGTTTTATAGTGGTGCCCTTCTTTTACTTAATTGTGATCAGAAACAGTTGTTCTTTAGAGTTCATTGGATGCTAAAACTTGATGTTTCCATTTATGTCATGATGATCCTCTCCATAGCAGAATGCGAAAATCTAGAAAGATTGTGCATCAGATTGAGTCCCTTTCAACATAATGAGTGGTGGGCTAATGACAACTATTGTTATTCATGACATGTTATAGATTGAAGGCTATCTAACTTTGAAAATGCTGTTGCCCGTGTCTTCCAGATTTGACATGGTAATTACCCATAACGAAGGATAGAGATTGAAGCACAGTTTTGGCAATGGCAGGTCCACTTCCAATACCCTGATGATGTTCTTGTAATACGGGGCACATGCCACTCACCAGTATGGACTATGGAGTCAACAAGAAAAGATCAGGTTTTTCCTGCTAAGTGTCAGTTTTTGATTTTGTAGGGATTTCAAAGCTGGTATCAGATGCGTGTTCAGATGAGAGGATAAATAGACAAAAAGGAGAGGTTTATATTTGACGAATACCCTCGTCTCATCCCTCTCAAAAGCATGTAGACGACAAGGAATATGACGGGCCAGAATTTGCAGATGCTGTGAATTGTGATCCTGAGTAAAAGACAATTTTGACATAAAGGAATCACGCATGATACCAATATCCAATCCCAATCTAAGTGAGCATATTCTTGTAGGCTTAGCCAACTAATGTCCAAACACAACACAACTCTCAGAACTTTTCTAATCTCACCAATGGCTATTGGCTTCAAGGATCCAAGAAGTAATTAAATCTCAATATTGAAGACCAACAGATGTCAAATTCCCAGGAAATTAACCGACTATTTCTTTATGCAGAAGAAGAGAAACGAAAATATGCAGATCTTCAAAACAAGAGGGTCAACCACAAAATGATATCGATCAACTTAAATTTTTTTTTTTTACAGATGATATATAGTTTTTTGAGTGGTCAATCTTCTAAATCATTTTGTTAAACAAGTTTTTCTGCATATGGCAATCCACTACCAAGTATCAGTCAGAAACTTCTGACATCAATACACCTTCTGAATGCCCCAGTTGGAACTTGCTGATGTCAATTTAGACACAGAAGCTTTGTGGGCCGAATTTTATCATTTTATGCCATCACAGTTGCCTTTTGGGAGTAAATCTAAGGCAAGAGAAGCTATCCTCCATGGATAGTCCTGCGACTTTCATCAATCCATCTCTTTCTCTGCTTTGTTCCATGCAATGGTAATTCTTGCTGCTGAGTTCGGTATATGCTGGTCCAAATGCTTCCTCGCACTTATTCAGTTTATTCCTTTCCTATCCCTTTTATCCTTCGTTTAACAAAGACCTATAAGAAGTGATCATGGAAAATATGAAATTTGCAAATTAAAGCCTCTAAGCGGTTCAATTATCACATCATACTCTGAAATTGCTAAGGACCAAACTGCTCAATAAGGCCTTATTAGTGAACCAGTCCTCAATAAGGCCACGTTTAGTTCGAAAACGGTAAATTACTTAATTTGAATGGAGAAAGTTATGTGTTTGGCACGTAGTCGTTAAGCAAAAAAAATTTCTCAGTCAAAATCAACGGCTACGTCAGTCTTTTTCGTCTAAATTGAATATTTTACCGTTCTTTGACTAAATGTGATTCAAAATAATTAATTTGTGTACTAAACGTGATGCGTCTAAAAATTTGAGAACCAAATATGCCCCTAACTCAAAGTTTAAGGACGAAAAGTGGATTTTTTTCTTTTCTTTCCTGTGATAATTTTCACCCACTGTTCCTTGACAAATTCTAATGTTAACAAAGTTTCCAATTCGACTACCAAACCCTCCATTTTCCTCGTAATATTTGGAGTCTCTCTTTAAAAGAAAATTAAAAGAAAAAAAAGCATACGCAATACATGAAGCAATTTTTAGATATTTATCATTTACAGACTAATTTATTGACTACTTGAGATTAAAAAAATGGAAGAGACAAATCGAAAGGACCCACCAATTACCCCTTCTCATCATTAAAAATAGACGGAAATCTACAGCCTGACTATTACAGGACGAGCAGTTTCAAAGAACCCAAAACCCGCGTGCGTTCCTTGCTACAGCCAAATGCCGCCCTTGCCAATCCTTTTCCTTTATATTGCGATCCTCCCACAATGAAAAGCTCACTACACTTGGTGACTTTGCCAGCAATAGGCTCACATTTGTCTGTCCCTCTCTCTTCTGCGAGGAAAGATGGACTTGTTTGGTGCAAAGGTTCAAGAGCTGATGGAGTTTGGAAGACCGTTAATTGAGGCACCAGTTGTATCAGTAACATTCACCGTATTGGCTTTATTGGCTGGGACTTTGTGGTACTTCTATAGACCTTACTGGGCTGTCAGGAAAGTACCTGGTCCTCCATCTCTGCCCCTATTAGGACACCTTCCCTTGCTTGCTACATATGGCCCTGACGTTTTTGCTGTTCTTGCCAAAACCTATGGTCCTGTATTCAGGTCAGTCGTTCTCTTCTGTCGTTCTCTTATTCTGTTCATTTATCACCAAACTATAGAAAGAAAAAACAAATACTGCCATTTGTTACACAGAGTAAATCATTAGGCAGCTTCTACCTTTGTTTCATGCATCTCGCAATTCTGCAGCTACTAACATAGTTGTGCTCTTTGAGCTAAAAATTTTCATGGCTTTGACGGTTGACTTTTGCAAGAATGTTTCTTTTCCCATTTTGCTGATGTTAAATCTTGACATCTTAATCACCATCTTGTCTGTCGACGCTTGTGCTGACCCTTTTCACTTCTAAACGCATAGGATTTAGGTCCACTTGCTTGCTTGCTTCAAGAGAATGAGGTCACTAAAGTAATTACGTGGCTGACTTAAAAATCTGATTATAAGTGTTTTGTTTTACTGAGTTTGTCAATTGCATCTCTTCTAGTGGGGTAAAAAGAGTTTGATCTCTGCTGAAGAAATTGCGGTTACTGTTAACTCTTTTCCTCAGTGGTAACTCCACCTCAGTATATCATGTCGGCTCCACGAAAGATGACATAATTCATAGTCCCTGTACTCAATCAGCCTGTTTGGTTGTACAAAAGTTTTTCTCGTCCTGAGAGGTAAAGGGACGAGTGCAATAGAGTTGTTGTGAATGAATCTGAAGATTGTCCAAATTTCGACTTCAAATTATTTTTGTACACGTTGAACTTGACATGATATGAGTCACAAGGATTTTAGAACAACATAGAACTGCAGTTGGTCCAAAAAGTAATAGTATTAGCTTTTTTAGAATTCAAGCAAGATTTCTGCCCCAGGATCTGGTATGTGACATTGTGAACTGGTTACCTAGAATTACAGTTGCACCTAAAAAATAATGGTGTTTTGTATTCAATCAACATTTTTTTACCCTGGATCTGTTATTCTTATTCTGAGTGTAACAGTAGCTATCCTTGGCCTTGCTGATGCTACAGAATTGTCTTGAAGTAAATTGATGCATTGGTGCTGGAAAGCTCTTTAACTACTTTCGAGAAACAATTTCATGTTCATCTCATGCGTGCTTGCCTCATAATACTTTCAATTGCAGGTTTCACATGGGCAGACAGCCTCTGGTAATTGTGGCTGATCCAGAACTTTGCAGAGAAGTTGGGATAAAGAAATTCAAAGACATCTCCAACAGAAGCATTCCATCTCCTATAGCAGCATCTCCCCTGCATCAGAAAGGTCTCTTCTTCACCAGGTAATGCAATGACTACTGTAATATGTTAATTTCTCGCCTCCCCGATCCAAATATAACTGATCTAGTATAAAAAGCAACAAATAGACTTGGATTGTGGTCATTAAATCTGTATACTACTTGCAATGATGCCAAACTCCTGGGTAACTAAAAGCAAGATGGCAACCGACTGCGAAATATGTAATAATAAGAAGATAAACTTGGCATTGGATGTCTCAGTGAGATAGGAACTAAGTTGTCGCAATTAATCAAGATTAGGTTTCATGAAATTTAACGAATCATTAAAGACATGTCACTTGCAACCTTTACAGGGATGCAAGGTGGTCAACAATGCGAAATACCATACTGTCGGTGTATCAGCCATCTCACCTTGCCAAGCTGATACCAACAATGCAATCATTTATAGAAGCTGCAACTGAGAATCTTGAATCGCAAGGAGACATGACTTTCTCTGAACTCTCCCTGAAATTGGCTACAGATGTTATTGGACAAGCTGCTTTTGGAGTAGACTTTGGTCTCTCCAAGCCCAAAGCAGGCAATGAATCTGCCAATAGAATGAGCCACCAGCAAAATGATAATGAAGTCCAAGACTTTATCAATCAACACATATATTCTACAACACAGCTTAAGATGGACTTGTCTGGATCCTTTTCAATCATATTGGGGCTGCTTGTTCCCATACTACAAGAGCCATTCCGCCAGATTCTTAAAAGGATACCTGGAACTATGGACAGAAAAGTAGACCAAACCAACCAGAATTTGACTCGCCGGCTTGATGGAATTGTGGCTAAGAGAATGAAAGAAAAGAGCCTTGACTCAAAGGACTTTTTGTCGCTCATATTGCGTGCAAGGGAGTCAGAGATAACATCAAGGAACTTCTTTACACCAGACTATATCAGTGCTGTAACTTATGAACATTTACTTGCTGGTTCAGCAACCACATCATTTACATTATCGACTATTATCTATTTGGTGGCTGGACATCCAGAAGTTGAGAAGAAATTGCTGAAAGAGATTGATGAGTTTGGTCCTCGTGATCAGATGCCTACTGCCCATGATCTTCAACACAATTTTCCATATCTTGATCAGGTGACTTAGCCTGCCACTCCCATTTTCACCAGAACTTTTAGTGGAAAAATTCATCAACAAATTCATACACATATTCATAACTTTACGAGGATCTTGGATTTTAGTAGGATTTCTATTGTGCTCAACAATCTAATCAAAATTGCAACTTCTTATTTGTCAAAACTTGATTCATCTTCCCTAACTGATGAAACCTGTGATGTTCAAGATCTCTTATGAATGATGTAATAAAGGATTTTATCTCATTCTTCTTTTAATTCTTTGACTCCAGGTGATCAAAGAGGCAATGAGGTTCTATACAGTTTCCCCCTTAGTTGCAAGAGAAACATCAGCAGAAGTAAAGATTGGAGGTTACATCCTTCCAAAGGTTGGTTTTACTTCTATCTCGCAAGGATTATGCTTATAAGCTATCGCACTTATTTTAGAGAAGGAATGGTTTAATTTCAACAATACTCCTCTAGGGCATCTTTGATGGTCAGGAAAGGCATATTCAGTTGAGTAACTTTGAGTTCAATCAGTTTTATAAAGTTAAAATTCTTTAAGATGTAAAGAAGCTGAAAAGTAGTGAACGCATTGCAAGAAATTCTGAAATGGTGAAATAGGAACTAGTGCATTATTTATTGCATAGTAGTTGTATTAGATCACTGATAATCAGTAAATGGTTTAGAAGTATCATCTTAAGATAATGTCCTCTGCCACAGGGTGGCTTCATTTTTGCAGTTAATTGTGATAGATTTCCAATGGACAAAGCCCAAAAAAATGGTAATAGTACTTCTTTTTTAATGCCACGGAATTGCTTGGTTGTAAGCCGGGGGATACCCTAGAAGATGAAATTGTATCATCAATTTTCATTGGAAATCTTTTTCTGTTATCATCCTTTCTTTGTTTTTAGTAAGCGATGTCCTGATTTATCTCATAATATGCATATGCAGGGTACATGGGTTTGGCTGGCTCTTGGAGTTCTTGCTAAAGATCCAAAAAATTTTTCAGAACCAGACAAGTTCAAACCTGAGAGATTTGATCCAGACTGTGAAGAACAGAAGCAAAGGCATCCTTATGCAAATAGTCCCTTTGGAATAGGGCCACGAGCATGCATAGGCCAGAAATTCTCCATACAAGAACTTAAACTTTCGATGATTCATCTGTACAGGAAGTATATATTTCGTCATTCTTCAGACATGGAAAAACCTTTGGAACTTGACTATGGCATAGTACTGAACTTTAAGCATGGTGTCAGGGTAAGAGCTATCAAACGTACTTGAATGACAATAAACAAAGGAACAAGAAAAGAAAGAAAATCAGCTTGGTGATCGTTCCATATAATGGTGAATTTGATTTTCCCAATGTTACGATGATGAATGAGCCATTCTACGAAATGCATTCCATGCAGCAGATGATCTTATTATGTACCTAGTTGGTTCCAGAGCAGATGTTCATGTGATGGACCAAACACAGCTATGATCCTGCCATCTTCTACAGGCAGGGTGGTAGCAGTCTGGTGGATTGAGTAATTTGGGAAAGTTGTGCTTTGGGGTCTTGCAAGGCTTTTTAGTCTTCCATTGGACCCGAAGAAGAAAAGTTCTACTTTGTTCAATTATTCCACGGATCTCTACTAAATATGCCACATTAGGGCTTTGTTTTGCTCCTGTTGTTTGCACTCTTAGCTTCCATCATACAGGTTAGTGATTGCCATACAAGCACGACTGCCGATCAGCAATAACAAAAAAAGAGTGATACTACCCTTTTTTTTATGCTTCTCTCTTTTTTGTGGTTTTGGAAGGGGCAAGGTTTCAACTAAGGAATAACAGCCAAAGAACCACTAACCAGTCACTAGATGTGAATTAGCTAAACCGAAGCTCATCCCAAATGCAATCATCCGCATGAGATCATCAATTGTTCTGAACAACTGAGTGCCATAACGAAGTTATCGTCTCCAAAATCACAACTTACACGATATCAAGAACCAAAGATCACACACGTCCTAGTACTTCAACAAGGGGTTTTGGCACATCAGAAAAAAAAATTAGAGCATTTGGATATATAACAACAAGCTGTTGTAAACTACTTGCAACAAATTTGATGGTTGAAGATCCTTAGCCTTCCCATCCTACTGATAAAAGCAATTATCCCTGATGGTTGAAGAACCTTAGCCTTCCCTTCCCCTACTGATAAAAGCAACTATCCCTTTCTGTCAAGTTCATTGAGAATTTCTCCATCCTAGTAGGCAGGCACTGAGGCCTAGAAAAGTGGACTGAAGATGGATCAGACCCATTGCTGCTTTTGGAATCACCATTGGAGAATGCTGATGATTTCTTGAGAAATTGAAATTCATCCATGGACTGCCTTAGAATCCTTTGATTTCTCCGTTTAGCTTTAGTTGATTCAGTCAGGTTCATGTAGCTAGGCCTACTGTTATTCCTCTCCTCCGTCCTGTCTGACGTCAAAGGAGTAGTTCCAGATATAGGAGTTGTTGATGTGCATATTGAAGATGAAGCTGAGCTCTCATCGTATCTAAATTCAGAACTCGGGCTCGAGGATGAGCGAGTAGCTAATCCAACTAAAGGAGGTTTTGCTGAAACCCTAGTAGTGACATTGTTCCTCTTTACCTTCACTGACCCAGGTTCAGATGACCTTGATCTGTTGTTACCCTTGGAAGAATCCAAACAGGTCTTCGAATGTGGAGTCTTTTCAGCAATATCGTTGTTGGCTTCTTCCATCAGTCTGTTTTCCCATGGTTTTGCTGCCATCCAACGTTCCAACCAACTCCATCCCCAGCTATTCTTGTCAAGTTCATGACTTTTAAGGGAGGGGACCGAGACATTTGTTCGGGAATCAAAATTTTGGCTAAATTTGCACTGCAAGGAAAGTTGAAGGATTATCCATTTTCCTCCTTGTTAGGCAGATTAAACAAATTACGAAGTAATATTTGAAACTGTAAGCACCTTCTGGGCAATAGAGTAAGCAAATGCTCTCTCTCTCTTGAACAATCCCTCTTGCCTCATTTGTATCTTTGTCTTAACCTCTTCGAGTGTTCCCCTACTATCGCACCATCCGTCCTGAAACTCACAAAGAATCAGAAAACTACTTCAGTTAATTAAATTAAATTACATAAACACCCCAAAGTAATAAAAGAGGCATCACCAGATATACTCAAATAACAGCAATAAGGGAAATCTACCTCTGCTTCTTTCAAGCGATCAGCTTTGCTGCGATGCTCATCTAGTATTTTCTGCACAGCCTGTCCCTCTATGGACATTCTTACACGGCGAGCCCTAACCCGTGCCTGTACCCTGACCAGGGCTTGCATGCACCTAAGGGTTACAGCAGCTTGCTTTCTCACCTGCCGGCCACGGACTAAAGCTTGGAGCCTCACCAGTCCTTTCAAGGCCCTCAAGGCTCTCCTTGCCTAAAATCATAATTCAACACCACTTTCAGATCCGATACCAAATTAGATGAATTCAACTAATATCCTCATCTACTGTTTTGAATCAACACATGGCCACTCCAATGAATTAATGCATAAAAGTTCATACGACTAACACATAATGTATATGTATTAAGTTGGATAAACTTCTACAACCTCTTATAAATAACCCACACAAATATTATTACAAGCACTTGATAAAACAGATAACAGGCCATAATTAACCAATTAAAATGATAGGAAACGTTAGCAGAGTTCAAGGAATGCCTAAGATTAAATTGCTGCATTTTTTTCATCTTGCGACCACTGCTGCTAGATAGGCAAAATCAGAGAGAGGGAGAGAGAGATGGATTACCAAAAATCCACGAAAGGCAGTTTGGATTCTGATTGCAGCCCATTCTTGCCTAACAACCCTGAAATCTTTTGGAGGAGCTCTAACAACAGTAGCTACAGCAGCTGTGAAAGCATCATTATTCACTGATGAAGAATCCGAGGCTTCTGATCCACCACTGTTCCTACGATACCCTTTGAATCCTTTCCATGATGAGGACCCACCCAGATCCCCTGATGAACTCCTCCATAGCCTCCATTTCTTGCCTTTTCCCCCCAACTTTTCCTACATAAAAAGCCCATGCAAAAAGCAAGCAAAAGACATTTGAGACCAACTCACAGCACATATACAGGAAAAAGATCAAATTTTTGTGGAATCCTTCGAGCTATAAGCAGAAAGCAAAATTGAATCTTTTTAAAAAATTTGAGCTTACATAGTCATCTTTTTCTGGTTTCTTGTATCCTATTAAAGCTTTTACCCATTTTCCTGAAGCACCCATCTGGGCTAAGCTCTTGATCTACCAGATTTCAGCTCCAAAAACAGCTCAAAGATCAATCTTCCCTCAGATAAAGGAAAAAAATATAAGCAAAAGGGATGACCCAAAGGATGAAGAAATAGCAGCTTCCCACCAGATTAAAGCAAAGCAGCTAAAGCTAAATTTTTAGCTAAGAAGAGAAATTTTAAGTATAAAAAAAAAAGAGGGGATTTATGTAACTGAAAAAAAAAACAGACAAGCCCACAATCAGGCAGAGAGAGATATAGGCAGAGCTTTAATAGGGCATAAATAAATTACTGCGTGTTTTCGTGGGTGAGTGGTATGTGTGTTGAGGAGGGGAGTGGGGTGGGGAAGTATAGCTATTGGTCCTGGTGGTGGTGGTGGTCGTGGTGGGTGGTGTGGGCAGAGAGTTTCTCTGTCGCATTGTCCAATGAGCCGTTGGGTTTTGATATTTGAAATTCAAAGAAAACAGCGGACACCACTCCAGGACCCTAGGAGGATCCGAGGACATTGTTCCCGCTCGAAATGTACGACGAAATGACAAGAATGGGCTTGAATGCTGCTGGAAATACGACTCTGTGTTGTCCATTGACCCTGCGGACAGGGCAGCCTAAAAAGGCACGAAGCTTTGTGGAAAGCTGAAAAATAACACCAAAGGCATGCAGACAAAGAATCTCTAAAGTCACTGCGGTGAAGATATCTCTGCTGGTGTTTTAATTTTATCCATCTGCCATCCAAAAACACCCCACTTTCGGATCAAATGGTCACCAAGCATAAATTTGATTTGGATTTTATGGGGGAACATTTTATCTTTCTGTGTTCTTTTGGGGTGGTCAACCTGATCTTGCAAAAGGTTTCTCATTTTCCAAAATCATGGTTAAAGTTTTCAAGAAAAATGAAGTGATGATGGAGTGGAGTTATAGAAGAGTTTCAAAGAAAACGGTTGAAAGAGTTCATAATTACCCGGAAATGACCAATGTGACGTTTGGATTGAACATTTTATTCGAATTTTTTTTCCCTTCGTGTTTAGTATTACTTACTGTAACACAATAATGTGTTTTATTGGGAATAATAAGAAGGAATTTTTCCAAATAGATTTTTTCTATTTGGATAGTTATTTTTGGAAAAAATTTCTTGTTTCATGATAAACACTTGTTAAATTATTTTTTTTAATTAACTTTTTCTTATCTCGTACATATTACATCACAAAAGGTATTACCAAAATTATTCAAAAAAAATTTTCAAATCATCTTCACTCCAAAATCACAACTTTGGAATTCACACAAAATTTCACAAATTAATCCAAACTCTTTCTTGCAAAAACTTTAGAAAATTAGCATAAATTGCTCCCACATCTCTCATGTATAAAGTTTGTTAACATTTTTTTATTTGGAAAAGTCGTTCAAAATATCTCTCGCATGTCACTGAATGAATTTTTTTATCATTCATTTTTAAAATATTAACTTTACATCCCTTACATATTCAAGTTAACAAAATTTGGTTTTAACCTAAGTTTTCGATCACTTTTTAGTTTGATTTCACTACGTGACCTATATGTAGTTATATTTTATATACAAAAAGGTTAGATCCTACCGTTTTAATGGTAAAAATAATCATGGATTGAGTCAGATCCCGCCTTTTAGGGAAAAAATAAATATGGTTCTAATTAGATCATACTATTTAGGTTAAAAAACAAATATGGATCGGATTATTTATTTAATTACAAATGGGTTCTAACTTTTTTTAATTTTAAAAAAATGATCATATGTGAGTCACATGATAAATTCAAGATAAAAAAAGTGGTCAAAAATCAACATCAGGATCAAAATTTATCAATTTAATTTTATAAAGGACGTAAAGTTATCGTTTTAAAAGTGAAAGACGAAAAGATTTATTTAATGAGATATAAGAGATGTTTTGAACGATTTTTCCTTTTTGTTTCACAATGAAAGTATACCATTTCATAGTTTTATATAACCAAGACGAATCTGTATATTGTTTTTAATTTTCCTCCAGCAAATTGAAAGGGCATCGTGGGTTGTACTTATTTTTTCTTTTTCAAAAAAAAAAAAAAAACAGTGGTCAATCAAGAACATTTTTTTTTTCTTACTTTCCTTCTACTTCCCTATTATTTTCGGTTTCCTTTCACCCATGGGCTATGCTAAAGTGACAAGGGGAAGGATTAGTAATTTCACATGAAAATCATGGTAAAACAAAAATAACTGCAAAGATATGTCACATTACTAATGCTTAGCTTAACTTTGCCATTGATGTTCTACATTATTGTCTGTTTCCTTTCGGAAAAAGATAGGGAAGTACATTAAACTCAAATTAGTGCCATCTCAAAATTTTCAAGTGTATATTGCATAAAATTGGACACAGAAAATGCTG